CATGAGTACTCAGCCAATCCTCCACACAAGGAGACCTTTGAGGAACAATAAGATGCTCTCGCTACACAAATGGTAGAAAGAGAAACAAGTTCAAAATACCAACAGTCGGAGAGGTACCGAGAAATCTGGATTGCACTCACAAGAGCCTCTGACCCTTCGAACTTCGATCGAGTACAGGTTGCTAGATTAAAGCGATGTTGCAATAATTCTGAGGTGATTGGGGACGATCTGTTCTTTCGGATGATAGGGGTGCGGAAGAAGTGTGTAACACTTCAAGGAGTCTCGGAAGTAATTCGAAATACTCTATATAAGAAAGGTAGATAGAAAAGCTGCGAGGAAGAAACTTCATCCAGTGTATTGAGGACTCTTGGATGTGGCTGGCCATGGTGGCTCCCATGGAAATCTTACCTTTTAAGTCTGATTAATGAGAATGATACACCGAGAGCCTGATACGGGGACCAACTCAAGTTATTAAAACTTCGGGAAAGTCTTTTAATCACTGTTCGAGAATGAAAAGCACCTTTTTATCAGAACCTTCTGTGCAGGATCAGCAGGCCATAAATTACCTGCAGCCGTCGGAATCGAGGACATGAAATGGAGTGGAGATCGCTAATTGCAGCTACTGGACTTTCTATGGGATTCCATAACTGATTTTGGAAAATGGAGTTATGTTCGGTGTTTAAATCTTGCCATTACAGGAACACTTTTATGGTCTGGAGAGAGTTGTGGATAGACTGATTACCCTGAAGTCCATCATGATATTCAGAGTATGGAGTTTATTCACTACGTCGAATGAAGTTCTATAATCTTGTTAGTAACTAGACAAATTTTAAGAGCGGAAACAAAAGGGATAACAGTACTCGAGCTATCTGCGTATTGTCGAGGACGACAAGTTGCAGCCACGGGACTAGAAATGTATCGGGTTACGTAATGTGGTTATGTAATTAGAACTAGTAGTGCAGTGGTCGTGTATTTACGCGTAGTAGAGAGAAAACAATAGAGTATTTGCGACCTCCCACAGCTCCGAGCCCTAACGTATTTCTGGGACAGCTCACTAGCCAAATCTAAGCGATTACGGGCACACGTAGAACTATAACACATTCTCTGTAAATAGAGATAACAATTAATTATCATCAAATAATTGAATCAACCTCCACAAAATTGAGACCTATAGAAGTGCCAAACTTTCATACAACCCTCAATTGTATTGTCGCAATCGCATCTGTAACGAGCCACCACTGCATTCCAGAATACACTCTCTAACTGTGATAATCTACACCGCCAGGTCTAGCAAACAAATTACAATAACTATGTCTTCGGATTTAGCCCTAATATCGGAACTAGAAGAGCCCCGCACCCAGTGGTTTTTGCGATTTTTCCCGGCTGCCATGTACCTGCAACTGGACATTATTTCGTTGGCCGGAAAGGGGAGATGATGAAGGGCAAAGAACTCTATTTGTATGATCGAATTAGGACTTGTGAGGGCTGGTACTGTTTGAGGGGAGCTGTAAGGGAGGCAGAGGAGAGGATATACTACTGGCATAGGTATCCTTGGCTTGTAGGCAGAAAGAAGCTGCATGTCGTATATAGTCTTGGATTGCGAAAGAACAACATAATTGAGAAAAACTATTAGAAGTTAGAATAATAGGGGCTGTCAAGTGGGCCACATTGTTGACACACACGTGATTACAAAACCTGTACTTAGTTATACTTCGGTAGTTTGAATTTGATTTCAATTAACCCGATCAGGCACCCTATGGGTCCATGCAGGTGACTATCTTCACTATTTACAAAGGAGGAAACCAATTTGGTGAAAACCCTCTGATCCTGTCTTTTTATATTCCTATCAATTTATTTAGTTTACCTTCACGAAGTGCAGTGCACACTGTTCAGCCCGTGTGGATTTCGTCCTCTCCTCTTCCAGATCGTTTTATTATATCCTAAATTGCTACTTCGACTTCCCCTGCAAGTCGAAACTGTTATATCTGTCCTTTGCTTAGTATCCACTTTGTGATTCTAGCCACATCTGGGCTGTTCATAACGGCTTCAAATGACATGTCCTTAGCTTGTCGGAGAAAGTCGCCTCCTACATTTTCCCACTGCGGACACGCCAACAACATGTGCTTGACGTTTTGCGACGGATATCCACATTGATAGCTTGGCTTTTCTACTCAGGGTACTTTTCTTCTGCACAGGTAAGAATTGAGTCCGATATGCTCGCTTCTTAGCTGAGTAGCGACAATGCTTTGGGCCCTGGTCAGGTTACGGTGGATTTTAAGGGTGTATCTTTGAAGTTCATTTTGGCGCTGCCTGTTTGTTCATCAGTAAATATTTTTGCCGCTTTCCAATGTTCTGGATCGGCTGATGCTGGTCGGCCAGGGCGCTGTTTCCTGTTCTAGCTTGTCCATGAATCCTTCCACTCCTGAAAGGCCGCTATCTTTCTAGCTTCTTTCTGCCTCCCCTTGTCTTTTTCCCTTCCGCAAGTTCTTGTCCATTCGGCGATATCTCTACTCTTGTTCAATGCATGCGGAGATTCTCTCCCGATTGCGGGCAGCTTTATCCTCTCACATGTCGATCGGATTGTCTGTTGAGCTGGGAGTTTATCTGATAGTCCAGCGTGCTGGACCCTCATTTGTTTCAGGTATATCTCTATAGGAAGGACGGACGATTCGTGCTCTAGCACTCTGCTACTAGTAGAATTGTAGGCACCTGCAACAAGCTTTAAGCATTTTCTTTGAATACTTCTGAGGCATTTCACTATCCTTTCAGGTATCTTTCCTATTGGCCCGGCTTCGACCCATATCGATGACCCATACCTAAGGGCCGGTTTCACTATCGAGCTGAATAATAGCTTGGATTTCACGAATGCTGCTCCCCAATTTGATTGTGACAGTCTACAAATTGATTGCTCTTGAGTGCACGATTTTTGCTGGATATTCTTGATGTGGGCCCCCCAGTGGAGTTTGGGGTCGAAGAAGACTCCGAGAACTCGAAGAGAGGACTGCGGTGATGTTAAGTGTCCTTGTATACTCACGGTGGCTTTTAGGTTGTGTCTATTCCTTGCTCGTGTGAAATGCATCAATTGGTACTTCTCTGGTGCAAATTTATTTCGTGTTTCTTTGCCCACTCCTCACATATGCTATGCTTTTCCTCTAACATTTGGCAGTTTTCTTCAGTAGAGCTCGACTACTTCAGTATATTAGTGTCATCTACAAATCCTACCGCTGAGCTAGATGGAGTACTTCGATAGTCACTTAAATCAAAACGCTTTACAACCTCAATGACTGAGTGGAAATTATTTCCTTTATAAAAACCAGTATGATACAGCTACAACTACAACAATCCAAAATCTTCAGCGCCATCGCTTGCAGCTTCGGCTGAAAAAAAAACCTTCGACATAGCAGGTCAAGAGGTAGTGATGGTTTCTCAGAGGAATACTAAGATAGGTAATCAAGTCGTACAAAGTACAGACTAGAAACTGAAATATGAGAGGTCGGCAAGTTTCAGAGCTCATGCTTTGGAAGCAAAGTATATCCCTAACTACAGCCTGCCTCCTGTAGTGGTTGTCCCTCTGATTTTGACGTCACAATTTTGAGATAATATTGACGTTGCGGGACTACCGCAGAAAGGAGGGTATCTGTAGTCCATAAGAGGCCGTATAGACAAGCGCGAGAATTTTGCGATTGGACCGGCTAGTAGGGAAAGGAGTTGAAAGATCCCGGCAAAACGTTGAGTTTTATCAGGGTATGAAACTTAAATATAAGCAAATTTTGGCATTGTTTTACTCTGGATAAGCTGGACATTACTATCCTCCTGGTGCCCCAATAGGTTGTTGTATAATTTTGAATAGTTTATCTAATTTTTATTTGAAAATTCGAGCCTCTATAGTTTGATGTGACTATTCTGTGACAGCTTTCATTCGGCACAGGTTAACAAATAAAGCTTCAATTCCACATTATGCGTTTATGTACCATTATCAATAGCTATATGCTGTTAGCATTCACCTGCAAGGGATGGACCCCTATATACACAGTCTTCTGGACTTTAAAGATTTCTTTCTTAGGTATGTGCAACGTTGAGAATAGCTTTGAAAGTGTGCGAATTAACATCATCTTCATCCCAGAATAGGGTCTTATTTCTATCTATCGGGTTGATATTAACGCTATACTAGTACTATTGTTGATAATATTTTTCAGGGATGTTATAATCAATGATAACATGGCGAGAAATTCGGAGCTAGTTGTGCGTTTGAAAAGGACTTGAGCTTAGACAGCAATTTTCAGATGGTATTTTACGCCACGTTGGGTCCGACAACAAAAAATCTGTGTAGTCCCCGTTTTTTGATCCCCTGTCTTTATAAGCAACGACCTTTTTTTGATTGCAAAACCTGCGCTCTCTTTTTCGCGGTTGAAAAGCTTGGAAGAGCCTTTCCATATCTATCAAACGTTTATATCCTCTTCAATGAAGATCCTAAAATCGTAAATTACTGACCAAGATAGATCGGCCTTGCCTTGGTAAATCGAGAATGGTATTTTTTGAATCTTCAGTTGCATGATTGGATGTAATTATCATCGGTGGAATTCATGTGACTTTTAGGTTGTCGACCGTTTACACTTGCATATATCCACCGAAGGCTATCTTTTTATCATTAGCCGCGTCGTTACTTTAGACAGTCGATTCGATATCTTAATCTCTTGCGAATAGCATGAAGGGAACTAAAGCCAAGGTAGGCTTGTGATTCGGCATCTCCTTGAATAGAAAAAGTAGATCTGGCTATCCTTATGTGAAGGTGTGGCCAGACGATAAAGGCTGATCGGGTCATCCAAGTTTATGTAATGTGTGGGTTTGACGCTAGGTTACGAATAGCATCTTTGTAATTTATTTGTGCAGTTCAGTCACCAACGAGCCAAATCAGAATTACATGCCCTGGGTATATAGTTTTGAAACTTGAAACTTAATATCCGAATTTCGATCCTGACGACTCAGACACGAAGCTTTGTTTAGGGAATTCCTTCCATAGATAGCATGTGACCCATCTTTTCAATCTAGGTATGTTAGTAGTGTTAACATTATATCGATGATAGTTTTTACCTTGGTTTTCATATAGCCACCCACTTCTTCACTCCTGATACCACCGGATTCCCCCTCCTTCCATGCCAGTGGAACCATCGGCAGTCTCTCCTTGACTGATATTTCTTTGTTCGGCCCTTCTATGGCTCGAACTTTTTCCGGATTGTTGGTTAACAATCGCACGCTACTAATTCCCAGATCAAGCAACATAGCTGTAGCTAATCCATAGCTTCGTGCGTCAGCTGGATGTCTTAATAAGAGATTGGCCTCGACTGTATCAGAACCTAGATCCTGAAGATTGTATGCTTTAAGCTTTTCACCTAGTCCAATACCGCGGCCTTCTTGACGCATGTATATGATCACACCACATGGCTCGGGATTTTTGGTAGTGGGAGTTGACATGAGTCTGGCAGCTTCATCGAGTTGCTCACCACAATCACAGCGTGCAGACCAAACTGTTTCGCCGGTATAGCATTCAGAGTGAATGCGCACTAGAGGAGCTTCCTTAAGTTGATCATGCGTAGCCATTTCTGGATTTGGCAAGTCGGAGCTTGTTCTTCCTGGATACAATCTGCCGACGTATGCACCTCTAATTAAACGATCCATCTCTGTTTCATCATGACGCACCCGGTCAAGCGAACGGCTCCTCAATGTGCTGCCGAACACTATTGCAAGGTGCTCTTTGCTATCTTCACTATTTTGGTATAAATGCAAGAACATTTCGGTTCCTGATCCTCCAATGGTTGTCGGTATGCGTGCGCGCACGACACAGTTCACCTCGGGCAATTTGGAGATCAGTCTCGGTTCCTTAACTCCGGAGCTTTCTTTGATTGATACAGTCTCTTCAGTTTCGGACGCAGTTTGATGGTCTAGAATAGAAGACCCTTGTGTATTACCAAAATTTGATGGCAAAAGATTGTTCCATTCTTGTTCAAGGCGTGAGATATTTGGGGGTAAAATACGTGGCTGGTTTGGGAGAGTAACTGTTGCATGTTTCTCTATTATTCTGCTTGTGTTCAGGTCGCGTTGGGGGTTAATGTCAGGGACTGGGGTAGATTGGTGTGAATAGAACGTGGTTTGCTGGGATAGCTCTTCGGACTCACGTACAGCACAAAAAGATGCGGTATTTGACATTTTTGAAATGATTTCAGTCCATCAAATTGAGCATGGAACGGGATGTTGGTATCTCTCCGTGTTGGGTGTTGAGCAATTAAATTGTTTGATGTGCCGTAAGTCACCTGCCTGACCAATCGTAAACTAGTTTCAGTTATAGTTTTGTGGATAATAAAATACGCTAGCTGACTCAGCAGTATTTGACAGGTTGCAGCAACGCAGATAGGGTACCAATGAAGGACATATATCCTGGTTGCGTAGGAAGGAGTACGTTGTCCGAAGCTCGAATCCCCTAAGCCCTTAGGAAGTAAAACATTACGTATCCTCACACAGTGTAATAATCCGTTTATGCCCTATTTGAGTTTCCAACTGTACAGGAAAGACTATTTAAATACAACTTTTCCTTTAGTTCCAAATGGGGTTTCCTTCATTTAATGATGGGATCCCCATTACTGGTTCACCGTAGAGCTACTTAATTTCTTACAAAAGAAATTTAAAAATAAAACCAATCAAGCCACACATTTCAAAATCCCATCCTTTTATAGATTCAGCATTAAAGCGACAAGCCACTACACTATGTCACGTGTACGCGCTGAAATGCGTTTCTCAATTCACAACGATGAATTACCCAAAATATAGCGTAGTGATTCATGCAAAAAAAAAGCGTATTACCTGAAGCTATACATTAGATGATGCGGTATAACACATTAAAATACGTGAGAGGGATTAGGACAAGTTTACAAGATGATGCGACGGAAGGATTTAGCCTCGAATGGAGTGAAATTCCGAATTTTGGCAAGCAGTTTTTCGAATTGGGCTTTGTGCGCGCCAAGACTTCGCTCGCGAGACTGCAGCTGACACTGTAAACACAAGCAAACGATGGATGATGTTGTGGTCCGCCTCCTGGTGGTGTTCTCTGGTATAGTTTGAGTAGCCTGAGCACCTACTCCACTTGGGAAGGAGACATCTCAGACCACATTTCGCGCGGAGGAAAGTTGAAAGATGATGGAGGCATGTCTGGGTAACTCAGAGTTTTTGACACGTTCCCCTGGGTGGGTATTCATGGATGAGAGTTGACTTGGGGTGAAGAAAAAGCCACCATAACTTCGCAGTGGTACTTGCAAATGAAATCCGAGGCATGAGTGCTCTTCCTTTACGTTGAATCATCTATTCTGTACTTTTATTTGATATTGTGTCATAGTTAGATTGCTGCATACGCAATTAAAATCTGATGCAAAAAAAATTTCACATTAAAATAGATATCAATTATCAAACTCCAAGAATGAATTATGAAAACGCGTATATAATAAAGCTACTCATAACAGTATGAGTTTCTACGGTTGGTAATGAACAACGAGCCAGAAAATAGCCCATTGGGTCCTTCGGGGTAGCAGTCCCTTAATCAAAGTCTACACTGATTCTGAGGTTGGTTTGGTTTGGTTTATTCGTTAACGTACTAGGTAAAGTGACTACTGTTGCACTCCTCCTGGAGCTCAAGCACGGGTGGAGCCGGGCTGGATCAGGTTAACTACCATTAACTACATCTACCTCGTCCTACCTGAATCACCGGACCACCTAAGAATTCACCCATGTTTTGAATCATGTCGAGTCCAACCGTCCAGAGAACCCTCTTTTGACGTGCCGAAGAGCAAATTCCTCCTCAGCCCAGTCCACTACGCGCCCGAGCCCTTGACACCTTCGCCATCTATAACTTTTCCCTTCGAATCATTCGCAGCTTTGGCTCATCTCAGCATCTCCTCATCTCATCCAGGAGTCGTTTTGTTCACTGGAGGCCTCATCCAGTCGCCCAACAAGGCCTCCTCGATTTGTGTTCCCTTTTGGTTCCTTCATGCAGCATCCCTATGCCCTTCAGCCGATCTCGTCATCCCAGAAACTTTGTAGAATGTCCACCCTTCCGGCCTTGCCCCGTCGCTGTCGTACCCGTAACCGTGGAGGTCGAAAACGCGACTGAGAGCTCAAGACCGAGGCACCGGCGCCCCAGCCTTTGTCGAACGCTCTAGTTAGTATGCCGGCGAAATGTCGTACGTATTTCGTCGGTCGCGATTCGTCGCAGGTCGGGTTGTTGGTGCCCTTGGCCGAGGTGAGGACGCATCTAAGGCCGGTATTTCGACCGTACCTTCACAGCGACTGGAAATTGCGTAGGGTCAGATATCCTCTTGCTTCTTAATTGGCGATTTGGCTTTTGGAAGTATGGGATTGCTTAGGTGGATTGTGAGATGATTGTGGAGAGGGCCGCGAGACGAGTTTGGCTAGGAATGATTTTCCAGAGAAAAAGAAAATAAGATTTTTAAGGTGCCGGTTGTTGTGATACGAACATCAGACAGGTTATAAGCTGTCTGCGGTTCGTATCTGGGGTGTAGATGGTTGATTTCGTTGAGTTGTGCAGTCGTGAAATCTCTGCGAGTCGGATTTTCGACCAAAAATGAGCCAACACCACTCCTCCCGATCGCCAACTCGACGAAAACTCTCAAATTCATCCTTTTTCGTGACTGAACTTGGCTCTGGGAGAATATTTCACTCCCAGGTTCGTAGAGGACACCGCGTACAGGTGGCGCTTGGAGTGGAGGGAGGAAGGGGAGAGAACGTTTTATGTATTTCGAGATACCAGTTAATGGACATTATTCACCGACTTCGTGACGGCACCCAATTTGTATCAATTCGTGTTTTGCCAACAAGACCCTACATAAAATTTACCATAAGTATGCTTTAAAGTCAGATAGGCGAGCGTAATAACGACTTAAACGAGAGGGCAAGACTGAACACCCGTACGCGGTGCCTTTTACGAACCTAGGAGTGAAATATTCTCCCAGAGCCAAGTTCAGTCATATTTCGCAATATCAAAGAAGTTGGCCCACGAGGCAAAATTTAAAATTACTCCACCACCTCGTTTTTCCGCTCCCAACAAGTTTGACGCCTACCTAAGACTCATCAAGTTTACAAGTACGACCTAGTACATCCTCATCCCAATGACCACACCTCTCGTCGACCTTCTCTGGCCTCAGCTGGTCGCCAGATACACGCCCACGCCGATATTTACACCCGACGGAGGAAGCAAAGCGCAGTGCACAAATCTGGGAGACAGTTCTTTGGGATGGACGTGAAAGGGATCAGGACAAGTTGACAAGATGATGCAGAGAATGGATATAGCCTCGAAGGGCGTGAAATTCTGAACTTTGCCTAGGAGTTTGACGAATTGCGCTCTGTGCGTGTCAAAACTTGGCTTGCGAGAGTTCAGCTGACACTATAAACACAAGCCGACGATGGAAGGTGCCATGGTCCGCCTCCTGGTGGTGTTCTCCGGTTTAGTTTGAGTAGCCCTGGCACCTATTTTACTTAAGAAAGAGACATATCTGATCACATTTCGCGCCGAAAAATTCAGTGGATGATTGAGGCATGGCTGGATGACCCAGGGCTCTTGAGGCGTTCCCCTGGGTGGGTAATCACGGATGAGGGCTGTAAGGATTCTTGAGAAATCCCTCAGGCAGGATTTATGGGTTCCTTATTTAATCCCACTAGTCTTTATTGCTTAGCGAGGGCACCTATGTAGTTTCCATTTCCAAGTCTGATATCTTCACGCTTTGTTTTCTGTCTTTAGGAATAGTTACATTATTCTAATCACATCTCACTCTCGTCCTCTGCCAAACATAGTGACCTACTGTCACCTCCGGCCCCTCTATCTAGAACGACTCCCCGCTTTCCCTTTTACCACTTCTCTAGAAAGCCCTCCGCGTTACCACGAGGCGTCCTTCCTCAGTACATCCTACGCTACGCCCTCTCCTACGCCTCGAGTCCTGCGCCTAGTGAACCTGCGCCTGACAAGGGCCGACCTGGGGTGAAGAAAAAGCCGCCACAACTTCGCAGTGGTACTTGCAAATGAAATTTGAGGCATGTTAGCTCCTCCTGTATATTGAGTCATCTTTTCTATACTTTTTCTCTGGTATTGTGTCATAGTCAGATTGCTGCATACGCAATTCAAATCTGATGCCAAAAAAATATCTTTTCTCTTCATAAAGCTTAGTAAGCGACTTATTCATTACTAACTCAGTCACCTCGCAATATTAAGCATTCACGTCCGCACCGCTGAAGGGAATAGTATTCGTCTTCGCCGGTTTATATCATAGCTTTTAGCTTCATCCACAGCAAATAATTTAAACAAAGATCAGGGCGACAGCGATATCATCTGAATACGAAGATAGGAGATAATGAAGGCTCTGAAGAGTCTTCATAACTCTACTGCTACGGGCTAGGCCCGGCTGGGTTCTGGCCGGGCTGCTTAAGGCTTTAAGGCCCATCCTTATCTTGAAGGCTCAAGCGGGTATTGAGTATTGATTGCTATTCGTATCAGGCATGTACCCTACACCCAATAGGCGTGATACGGGTATGTAATCTACGCAGACTCACTACTACCTACGTGCATGGCTTGCCAAAGAAGCCATAAGAAATAAACATAAGTAAGCAATACATCGTGTTCAAACAAAAGCGCCCTGCGCCCTATCCTATTCTTCCCAGCGATTGACTACTAAAATAGCCACTGATACCCCTAGGGGAGGCTCAAGCGAGTTAGTAAGTCTTCTCGCTATATGGGAGTATTATTAGATCACGTGTAAAGGGCAAGGGTATCTGGAACAAGCATTGAAGTTATAAAAAGCCGTAGCTTCCCGCTTATAATTTCCTCATAGGAAATTTAGACATTTAATTGTGGCAATGCTTTCGTGCATTGGCCGAAAGTCCTAGCCCGTCACATCTCCTCGGGTTATACGTGGGATCCCGTAAATACTGATGCTTTGTGCATACTATATTTGCTCCAGTGTTGGCTCTGTGTTTCACAAAACTATAATTGAGAATTCATTGCAGAAGCTAAGAAGGTGAAAAGAAGCTACTCATAAAACAAGCTCCTTGGTTTGTTACTGGTTATCTTCCACATTTCAATACCTTGGATAACTTTGATAACATGGATATGTTGAGCGGTTAGGCTTGCAAAAGCTTGTGGCTGTCAAGCA